GGTTTGAAGGGTGGGNCTGACACAAAAGTGGCGCTGGGCAGGACATCTTGCGAGATATACGGATAAAAGATGGACATTAGAAATTACAACATGGGAAGGACCAGCGGGCAAAAGAAGAAGAGGACGACCAAGAAGCAGATGGATCGACGAAATAACAGCAGCAACTGGAAAAGAATGGAGAAACAAAGCCAAGGATAGGGAAGAGTGGAGCAAGCTGGAGGAGGCCTATACCCGAATGGGGTTTCAAGCACAAATTTATATTTAATTTTGTAATTTTTATTTGATAAGGTGTTTTTTCTTTTTTTTTCTTTTTTCTATTTGTGTTTTGGAAATAAAATGGGCTTATTATTATTATTATTTATATGTAATCATCATCATGAGTAACATTGCGTCACACCAATTTTCATTATATACATATGTGTATATAATTAACATTATATATAGTTAAAGATGCAATACTTAAGAACCATTATTTTATCTGTTTATTAACACTCAGTGGTTTTGGCCCCGGTCACCGTCCTCGTCGAACCCGTCGCTTGCGACGAAGGGCTCGACGAGCGAATTAACCCATAGACACAGCCCACTGCGTTCCTCACCGTATCTTCTCAGTGGGTCGCGTTTCTGATCCGGTGGTATATTCTGCGAAGCACTGCTCTTGTTAGGGTCAGTGTTAGCATCACTCCGGTTTGAGCCCCGTGAGCTCACCTACTAGTTAAGGTTACGCTGAAATAGCCTCTCAAGGCTATCAGCTTAAGTAGGAAAAAAAGGGTGCGTGTACTTATGTACGCGTAAGAAGTTATACTTTATTTTTATTAAATTTTTTTTTTTTTTATTATTTAAATTTTAATCAATTTGAAAAAAAAAAAACGATTAAACAACATCCTCAAACACGCATATTGGACATCCCTTTTCTTGACATCGTATAAATTCGGTAATTCTCTGGAAAGTTCACCTGCGACTATATTCAGACTCGCCAAGTTACGTCGGTCGTATTGTAATGAGCGATCTAGTGGGCAACTTCATTCTGTTAATTTTGTGTCACGGTGCGCGCGCATCGTAAAATTTCACTCTCATCAAATTTTTCATAACGCGCCTAAAGAAGTATAACTTCAAAAAAGTGGTTTTGTTGACGGAAGAATATAAATCCAGAGATTTCAGTCATCGAATTTCGCTTATTTGAGTCGTCTATTATCAAAGGTGGCAATCTGTGCATTTGGACAAAAAAATGTTATTGATATGTCAATACAGATTGATTTGAATATAATCGTCTCCTTCAAAGAATACGGTTCGAAACCTGCATTAAATAAAGGTTAATAGTTAACCTGTTATTTATCTAAGATGTCGTTCCGAAGAGTTTTGTGACTGCCAATGGAATACAAAGTCAATAATTCGTTTTTCTGATTTACCAATAATTATCCAAAAGTCAGATTGCCGGCTTTGATAATAGTCGACTCATTTATACTCTTAGTCGATTGAAATGATTTAAACCTAAATTTTTTTTTGGATAAAATTAGAATTAATGATTTCATTCNCTGTTATTTATCTAAGATGTCGTTCCGAAGAGTTTTGTGACTGCCAATGGAATACAAAGTCAATAATTCGTTTTTCTGATTTACCAATAATTATCCAAAAGTCAGATTGCCGGCTTTGATAATAGTCGACTCATTTATACTCTTAGTCGATTGAAATGATTTAAACCTAAATTTTTTTTTGGATAAAATTAGAATTAATGATTTCATTGAAATTTCCGTTCGCTTCGTCATCCAGGAAGACTGAAAATGTCATTTCGCATGTCACTTCGTTACAATTTCCTGTGACGTCAGATTGTCTTTTTGGATTTGGCATGTTTTTATCACCTGGCATATTTGTCAACGACGCGTCACGGAAGTTACGGAATGTGGGACTTGTGACAGGACTCTAAGCTTGTGGTGGTATTGTGAGCCTACTTAAGTCGGTACCACCACCGTGCCTGTTTCAACCACGACATAGTTCTGCATTACAATACCACGTGCATTAATAGTTTAAAATTTAAATAAAAATCTACGACCGGAAAGCCCTTAAATTATTTACGCAATTATTTCTATATATGAATTTATATATGAATATAAATATGAATTTGGTCTATGGGGAGTGCTCTGAGGAATGTTTGAGATGATTCCATCATCTCGTTTTTAACATCGCACCGCCCGCCACCGGAGTAGAGTTCATCCATACTACCTGGAGCCACTGCGGGCATCCACAGTGCGTTTCCAGAGATCTTTTTTGCCGCGTACCATCCGGCTTTGGAATGAGCTCATTCCATTCTCTCCTTCACGATGTTTCCCGAGCGTTATGACATATCCTTCTTCAAAGCGGTTCTGCCCCTGACATTTATGATGTCCATGGGCTACAGTAACCACTCACCATCAGGTGGGCCGTATGCTCGTCTGCCTACAAGCACAATAAAATTAAATAAATAAAATATTAATTATAAAAAATTATTGTGACGTCCTAAAATTTCCAAAAACAAAACGATCTTGAATTATCATTGTAAGCTCAAAAGCTCAAAGTATCTTTAGTTCGCATTTCTCAACCTTTAAGAGGTCAAACACCGAGGGGAAAATGTCAAGTGTCTGTTAAATAAATATTGATATACTTGTTTCTGTCGTAAAATATCGAATTCCGAGATGTTTCTTATAGAAATAGATACATACAAAAATTGCATTTTACTCCAGAAAATATTATATCGAGACAGACATACATATCGGGGAGTCAAAGGCTCTTTTTTTTATTGCTTAGCTGGGTGGACGAGCTCACAGCCCACCTGGTGTTAAGTGGTTACTGGAGCCCTTGGACATCTACAACGTAAATGCGGCACCCACCTTGAGATATAAGTTTTAAGATCTCAGTATAGTTACAACGGCTGCCCCACCCTTCAAACTGAAACGCACTACTGCTTCACGGCAGAAATAGGCAGGGTGGTGGTACCTACCCGTCCGGACTCACAAGAGGTCCTACCACCAGTAAAAATAAAGTCAAAAAAAAAGTTGAAAGAAAGTCGAAAAGTTGAAAAAATTTAAAATAAATTTCAATAAATTTTATTGATTTTATTGTAAAAAAAAACGTGGAGTGCATGGAATCAGTAATTATAAATATTTTATGAACAGATATGAGTAGAAGGGCTATTTCGATAATATCCTGAAAAGCACCCCAAGCTTTTTTACAATAAAATAATTCTTTCTATTTTTTAGTTGGATTTCCTATCAAAACGTATTTTTTTAGTTTTTTTAAACTATTATTTCTTTTTCATTTTTTAGTTGAATTTAAATTTTTTCAATATATTTTTTTAAATATTGAATTGTCATCTGTCCTTAATAAGTATGCCAAATTTCGAGCTAATCCGGGGTCAAAATCATGTTCAAAGATTCCGTTACATACTAACATACATACGTCTGAAGCTAATAAAAGCGTATTAAAAACAAAAAAACCTATACTGTACAGTCATTAAAACTAATTTTACGAAATCATTTCGCGTTTTTTTACTGTCATCAGATTGTTTACGAAATTTTGAGTACTTTACAATTTGAATCGTCAACGAGATTAAAAAGTAAAAGTGATTTTAATTAGATACTCGATACGCTGCAAAAATACTGTAAAATACTTCAAATTAATCCGTAAAAATGTACATATGTTTTAAAGTATTTCTTACCTTCGATGTATTTAGAGATACTAGTGGTCCCTCAGTAGTCGAAATCCGATTGAATTTGAACATTATTAAAGTTATATTCCCAATGACAATTATACTTCTATAATCACAGATTTTGCCAAGACTGCACTTTTGACAAATAATATTAAAGACAAACAATATTAATCTATTTTCAATTTGACCACAGACTTTAAACAATAACAAAAACTTGACAATAAACACAAAACATTTGTGTTGTGTCAAATATATGGTATATAGTGTGTGTAATGTTTTTATTATTGACAAGCCGCACTCGCCCGCTTCGCTGGGCATTTAAAATTAACATTATTATTTATTGCATTATTATAAGGGAGTTCAACACTCATTTAAATATTAGCCTATCCGTTAAGTACATGTATTTTCTACATGGATATCAAGTTCCAAGTCAATCGGATGCATGGTTCAGACATCCGTAAAAACCACTGTAGATTTATATATTAGTATAGATTTAATGTATTTTTAATGAGTACTAAAAAAAATATTAGCTTTCTGCACTCCTTCTCTATATTCTGTATAAGTGTGGGAAATTTCATACTCCTCCGTCCGCGCAATTTTCGTAAATAGAGCTACAAAGTTTTTTCTTCACGTATATAGATTAATTGTATTTGGAAGCTAAGACCTTGTTAAATAATGTTTAGCGTAGGTCTGTGCGTTGGTATAAACATGTCCTACCCTTCAAACCACTCCTACGCGAAGGAAACAGGCTAGGAGATACCTACCAATTTCTCAACGACTCACAATACAACTCTATGTAATTGCTTTGACTAATCCTAATCAGTGATTTAGTAATCCTATCCTAATAAGACTTTACAATCGTCGACTGTTAGTTTATTCATAAATTTAAAAATAAATAAAATAGTAGAGAAGAAATTATTTTTGAAAATTCGAGTCTTCGTTTTATTGAACCATATGAATGGACGAGGCAGCTGTCCATGGACAAGGACTTCTTTGAATACATTAATTTATGTACTAGAAAACAACTATTTGAAATAAATAAAGCAAATATCTTGGTATACTGGCGCATGATACATCTAATGATAAGCGATCACTAATAAGAACCGTATGAAGCCTCATTTGGCGTCTTATTTATTTAGAAACCGATCAGACATAATTAAGCACCTACGCATTCTAACGCGAAACGGAGCTTTTCCGAAAGCTCGCGAATGTCAATACCCGCTTCGGTTATCACGTTGTGCATTCAAAAAAAGCTTCGATATTAACTGTAATGAGAATTTTTTTTAGTAACTTAATCATAACTTGACAAGATCTTACTTACACATAATGTTTCTCGAGAAATTCACTCAACACTAACACAGAACACAGATGTAACACAGAGAATATAATAATTTAAATATAAATGAATATCGAAACACTAACACTGCAACCTGTTCACGATCCCACGACAATCGGAAATCGGGTCTCTATTAAAAAAAACCGGTTTTTTTTTCTCTCATTAAAATCTCCATTCATAAACACTGTAATCCGTAACTACGCCACAGGTAGGGACGCGCGGGAGGGACACGTGCGCTCTCTCTGGTGGTCGAGCGAGGAGTGAGGACGCGCCTTCGGAGGCTGCGCATAGAGGGGGGGGAGGGATCACCAGCCATGCCCGGGCAGAGGTCTGTCGTAGCTAACGGAGACCGGTCGCATCGGCATACGGCTGGCATTTATTGATTACTGAAACACTATCTTGTGCGTTTTAAAATGTATCCCTAATTATTATTATTATTTATTATTTTACAGTTTTCCCCTTTCTCAGTTCAGTCTGTCGCCAGAGCCGGTGGACCTGTATATACGGGCTTTTGGCTAAGTAATATACAGTATAGCTATGAGTTTAATATGCTAGTTTTTATTACGTGTAGTAAGTTTGGTTTTCTTCAATTATTATTATTATTATTATTTATTGCTTCGATGGGTGGACGAGCTCACAGCCCACCTGGTGTTAAGCGGTTACTGGAGCCCATAGACATCTAGAACGTAAATGCGCCACCCAACTTGAGATATAAAGTTCTAAGGTCTCATGTATAGTTAAAGTTTTATTACGAGAATATTTTCTTGTTGCCCTTGTAGGCAGACGAGCTCACGACCCACCTGATAGTGAGTGGTTACCGTCGCCCATGGACTTCAGCAATGCCAGGGGTAGAGCCAAGCTGCTGCCTACCGTTAATTACTCAAAGGTGTATTCAAATGAATTGAGTCAATAGGTAGTAGAATCTATTTATTTATTTGGATCTTTATGTATAGATAGAGCTTTCTAAATACATTTAAAGAGGAGATTTACAAGTTAATGCAATCGACGATGATATTCAAACTATTGAGATCAATAATTAATATACCCAGTAGCCAGCGACATGTGTCTAGCAGCTAGCTTTGCCGATATCCATGTTATTACCACTCTCCATTCAGGCATGTTGCAAACATGGTTTGAAGATTAGATGAAACTAACATTGCGCTCTGAAAAACACTTTTTTTTCGCCCTTATAGGCAGAAGACTCACCTGATTGTAAGCGGTTACCGCGGCTCATGGAAATCAGCAATTCCAAAGGCACAGCTGCGGCATACTCAACGCAGACCTTATTTGAATCCTTACGTATGTAATTAAAATTGATTACTTTAAATCGAATAAAAGTTAAGATAAAACCATAAACATTATCGATCGATATAGATAATGAACTAGCTTACGACTCAGACGATGTTAAGCAGATACCTTAAAACCGATACGCAAGGTTATAATTAATGTCAAACACATTATTTTCGAATTTCGAATGTAAATCTTAAGGTTGACGTAATTAGATCGTGAATCCATTATTTGAGGATTTCGAACCGTGATTGTTTCTAATATATTATTGATAATATGAAACCGCTTTACAGATAAGATTGCCATAAAGAATTCATTTAAATATTGCGTGCATAAAGACCACGAGAACACTGAGAGAGAAGGTTTTTTTTATATTGCTTAGATGAGCGGACGAGCTCACAGCCCGCCTGGTGTTAAGTGGTTACTGGAGCCCATAGACATCTACAACGTAAATGCGCCATCCACCTTGAGATATAAGTTATAAGATCTCAAGTATTGTTACAACGGCTGCCCCACCCTTCAAACCGAAACGCATTACTGCTTCAAGGCAGAAATAAGCAGGGTGGTGGTTATAATAATAATAATAGGTTTTGACGGATCCGAATTAAGACAATTTTTGTTTTTGTTTGTTGTCTACCTAAGGGATCATTCGAACTATGTCCAGACGCGTAGGCGGTAGGATCAACCTGAGAGAATTTGCTAACACTGGCCCTAGCAAGAGCAGTGCTTCGCAGAATCTACCACCGGATCGGAATCGCGACCCACTGAGAAGATCCGGCGAGAAACTCAGTAGGCTGTGTTGGGTTTAGTTCGCGTAGGAGCGATTTTGAAATACATTAAACACGAATTATTTTACCAACTATGTTATATAGAAAGAAACTTGTATTAAACCACTTCACACTAGATGAGCCGTCGTTCACTGTATGTAATACACAGACACTGGTGGTAGGACCTCTTGTGAGTCCGCACGGGTAGGTACCACCGCCCCGCCTATTTCTGCCGTGAATCAGTATGCGTTTCGGTTCGAAGGGTGGGGCAGCCGTTGTAACTACACCGAGACTTTAGAACTTATATCTCAAGGTGGGTGGCGGCATTTACGTTGTAGATGTCTATGGGCTCCAGTAACCACTTAACACCAGGTGGGCTGTGAGCTCGTCGACACATCTAGGCAATAAAAAAAACACAACTAAGCCACTGCCTGTAACTGAAAGCTTCTAACTTCGTTTCGAATATCATGTTGCTCAGAGATACAAGTTAACTACAAAAATAACCAGATAGACTATGACTATGACTATCTACACATCGCTTACTTGGTGGTAAAGCGCCTTGTGAACCAACCTTCACCACAGGTAAGTACCACCACCACCCAGCCAACTTCTAAGGCGAAGTATAAATGTTTTCATATTTGATTTGATTTGTTTATTGGCACTATAGAACTAACACTTAAAACTCAGTATCTCAAGGTGGATGACAGCATTTAATGTTGATGTCTCCGGTAATCACTTAACACCAGGCGAGCTGTGAGATCGTTCACTAGTCGTAGCCAAAAAAAAATTATTTAATAAACACAAAATTTTGCTATCCAAAAACCAGCAATACGAATTAAAATAAATTAACATTTCTAATCAATTAAGCAATTGATTTATTTCCAACTGATATGTGGTGTATTCCCACGGGTTCTGTTTTTTTTTAAAATAAAAAGTGCCAGAGAATCAATTAGCATAATGGACGTTTTAATATTTTTCTAATACCTTTTTAATATGTTTCGTTAGATACATAATATCTACCCACAGCAATGATACTGTATGACGCTCTGACAAGAGTGATGCGACAAAGAATGGTGTTATTCATACGAGATTACGAGCACTGCTATTGTATTTTTTATTGCTTAAATGGGTGGACGAGCTCACGGCCCACCTGGTGTTAAGTAGTTACCGGAGCCCATAGACATCTACAACGTAAATGCACCACCCACCTTGAGATATAAGTTCTAAGGTCACAAGTATAGTTACAACGGCTGCCCCACCCTTCAAACCGAAAAGCATTACTGCTTCACGACAGAAACAGGCAGGGTGGTGGTACCTACCCGTGCGAGCTCACAGGACGTCCTACCGCCTTCCACCTCACAATACATCCAGACATTCTCGCTATCACCAGCTCCAGTCACCATAGGACTTCGGTTGGACCAACAATAACAAAAGCAAAGCCAAACATTATTATAGCACATTTATGATTGGTACTATTAAAGTATTTTGTGACTTTATTAGCAGAAAAGCCTCACGCGCCTTTCTCAAGACGTAGTCTCCCGGTAGGAATTGGAAAAAGAGGAGGACTTTGGTCTTTCTATTCTCCCTCTTCGTCTCTGGAAGCGCCGGACATAACCCGGTCTGTTACCCCTCTCGACCGTTAAAAAAAAGGGTGTTCTTGGTACAATGAACCAGCTCAGCTCTGCCACGAAGCAGTCTTGACTTCCGTGTTGTACAGTGGTAGTAGCAGTAGCAGTTTGAAGTCGTCGTGGCCTAAGAGAATCGAGTGCTAGTCATATTAACCGTGGAAGATTTTTTTATTAATAACTCTGAGATATTAATGAAAAATGTATTTAAATTAATTTAAATTCAATTGGGTTTGTTATTTAAATGCAGTTATAAGTAATGCCCAATATTTTTATTTAAAATTATACAATAACTTATGTTTGACTCGGTCGGGCTGTGGTTAGCGCGCTCGTCTGCTCGACCGGAGGTCGCGAGTTCGATTCCCAAATCAGGGAAACATTTTAAATTATATATAACCGGATCATCAGTATATATTTCCCTTAGTACACGGAGTCATAATTAGAGACCAGATGTCCGTGTGTGACCTATCACCAGTTATTATTGTATTATAAACAGCTCACCGTTGCTTGAAGACACCTGTTCCTGATAAAAAGATAGCGTATAAACAAAAAAAACAACCCAACAAAACCTCTCGAAATCAAATGTGTTCACGTACAACTTAAAAACACAATCCGAACCGACTCAGATGTGCTATTTTGGACTTTATCTTAATGGATAAAGAGCGAAGGTCACTCCGTATAGATGTATACGTAAGCTTGTATTTTAAACCCGAACCTTTGAGCACAAAAACGGGTTACGTTTGAGCACAAAAAAAAACGGGGCAACGTCGCTACCATTTCATTATCGGTTGTCAGATAACTAGTTATGGATTTAGGGCAGGCGATCGAGCTAAATTACCCAAGCCCGGGAGTCGAAGCGTGACGCCGAAAGACCTGTGTGCTTAGTGCGAGTTTTTTAACGTTCTCGATAGCGTAAAAGTTAACTCAATTTTGTATGCAATTGGATCGTCTGCCTACGTTTGCCGCTAGGGGCGCTGTTCAAACTGCATACAAAATTGGTTTAACTTTTACGCTATCGAGAACGTTTAAAACTCGCATTAAGCACACTGAACTGTGTTCTGATGCTAAGTATGATATTTTTAACTTCTCGATCGCGTAAAAGTATTGAGTTTGTGCGCAAATTAGTATGGAGTTTGAATGGAGGTTCCCTTGATTTGCCGCTAGGGGCGCTGTTTCAAGTCCATACAAATTTTAGTTAACTTTAACGCAATCGAGAAGTTAAAACACTCGCATTTAGCACACTGGGTGTTGTCTAGTGGACAGTCATCAGTAAGTGTGTGACACGTACAAACTTAGCGTGCGTGTTTTATTTATTGCTTAGATGGGTGAACGAGCCCACCTAGTGTTAAGTTGTTACTGGAGCCCATAGACATCTACAACGTAAATGCGCCACCCACCTTGAGATATAAGTTCTAAGGTCTCAGTATAGTTACAACGGCTGCCCCGCCCTTCAAACCGAAACGCATTACTGCTTCACGGCAGAAATAGGCGGGGCGGTGGTACCTACCCGCGTGGACTCACAAGAGGTCCTACCACCAATAATTACGCAAAT